GAACATGGTTAAACATATGAATATAATTATGGTCACATATATTAGTGTGAAAAATCTTATGCTATTAAACATTTGCGTCATCGTGTATTCAAAATTAAATAACTGTGTTTAGTTATAAATATAAAAATAATTAGTAGTAATCCGTACAAGAAGTACAAGATAAAATTGAAGTCATTCTAACAATCACCCAAGGTCAAGCACTGAGCAAAGCGAAGAAACTGCGCACGCAGTCACAGGCAGAGTGTAGAAGGTACCAAGAGATGAGAACCTTGACTCAAAATTTCCGCCTGCAAAACGTTGGCGAATTGACAATACAAATGAGAGCACAACAACATTGTAAGGACAAAGCACAAGCAAGTCGAGTGATTCGATCAATGTAAAATACAACGTAAATGATAAACAACAAAATGATAAATAATGCGTTGCATATAAAAATTAGGAAAGAGATGAGTCGTTCAGCAAAGTAACCATTAATAGATGTTTAAGCGACATATTCTGTTTGTAGTTTTACGCGTGCTGTTGTCAAAATCTGCGTCAGATGTAAAACACCCACTTTCCATGTTTCCTTCCATGATGTAATAAGTAAGTTGGTTGTTCGGCGGCAAGTCATTGTCGGTCGCGTGAACGGCTCCAACGATGGTACCCACCGGAGTCCGGTCATCAACGGAAAAGTTGTAGACAGAGCGATCGAAGTGTGGAACTTCGTCATTCACGTCCAGCACAACGATCAGCAGGCGAAGCACAGACTTCAGTGGCGGTGTACCTGAATCTGCAGCCGTGATGTTCAGGCTATAACGATCGACGCGTTCCCTGTTAAGTCTGGCCGTCGAGAAGATCCAGCCAGAATCAGCTTCAATCTACAATAACGCACAAACGTCACTGTCAACTACATGAAAGGGGAGTCGCAGAAAGACCGACGCAAAAATGTCATAAGTTTGAAATTTCATACAAAAACTTGAAGAATTAACCTCAATGTGCGTCATGCAAACAGCATAGAAATATAGTAGTGCTTGATAAAGAAGCGAGACGTAAAATCTGAACAACGTGAAGCACTGACTCCTAGTTAGGAAAGGGGTGACGTTCCGCCATTACAAGCTTTAGCTATATTCATATCTATTCATACAAGTGTTCAGACAGATTTCTAGACCTTTACGGTTGAATCCTGAAATGGTTTTTCGAGACTGTGTCTTGACACTAACTTTGACTAGTAGGAAGGTTGTGTTTAAAAACATTTGTTCCAGCATTCTTAAGTAGAGCGAAACGTAAAGGTTGTTCTTCTTCTTAGCCTACGTTTGATATCGCAGCATTTGATTTAGCTGAATTAAATAAAGTTACCGGAATTTCGCGTAGAAACAAAAGTTGAAGAAGATTCTAGAGCTGAATTAAAGATTAAAGAGTTAAACAGGTTATTTTCAATTACTAACCATACCAGGTACTCGCTATTATTTACAATTACTGAATTACTGAAGTCTGTTTTGCTCAAAAAATGAATCGTAGGATGACTGAATAATCCTAATATAATAAGATAACGTTATTTAGGTAAGTAATATAATTAATCGTAATACAATTTCATATAGCAAGAAGGGAATCCATTGAGTCCAGAAGAGCAAGCTGTGCAGAAAGAAGGAAGCTGTGGCCGCCAACCAGTTTTTCTTTATACAGTAGGTACAGCCAAGTGAATACAACTGGAAAGGCAGAATAGAACTGGATAGTAAGAAAGATTTTTGAAAAGGAGACAGAAAAAAGACAGATTTTTGACAGTAAGAAAGATTTTGAAAATGAAGAAAAATAATTCTCAATTAATTCTAATAATAATTAAAGAAGAGTCAGCTGCCAAATCCTTGACAGAGGTGTCAAGCTGAAGTGATGTTCATACCACTCGTGCTATATTTCATGGTGTGACTAAAATTATAAAAATTGAAACAATAATAGAGCATATCAGATTTAATTGAGTCTGTTCTAACGATCTTCTGATTTAACGGACAAGTTTTCCTTTTTAGATCCGGTACCGAACTTCCTCGCTATTATATGATTGCCATGTTGGTACTGCTTATGTACTACCTCAGCAAACTCCGGTACAAAGTCACATTTACTCGGATTCAGACTGACGAGTTGTCAGCAAATTACATTATAAATTTATAAGCAACCGCTATGGCGAATGGCGCCATTTAAGGCTAGAAACCAACCCATCATTTTAAACGTTACAGCATTTTTAGACCGTCAGTCGAGTTGCAATAAAACGACTATTTGCTATTAAGGTTTGCTTTTTCCAGAATACACATACCACGTTTGACAGATGCAAGTGTTAAAGAACGTCACCGTTAAAATAAAGTCTTTCATGGGGAACGGCGAAGCATCTAAGACTAAGATTGTCACTTTTTATTTATAGCTTCCCCATTAAATTATGAATTCTTCGGGTAAATATCCTACATAATTTATATGCATCCCAGAAGAGATATAGATATATAATCTAATACAAAATCAATCACAGAATTTCTACAGAGCATCGTTTTGAACAAACAGTAAATTGAAATTTGATGAGTGGCAAGTAAAAGCTAAATCAGGTTGAAATTTAATTATATTATATTACTGAACCAGTAAGCTAGAGACGGCCAACAACAGCACATATGTATTTCGTTTGTTCAACATCACAAACATTAACTAAAATCAATACGTGACAGATGGAAAAAGGAAAAGAACACATTTGACTGTAAACCAGGGGTAAACTATAGATTTGGTTCAACGAAACTTTACTTAATTTTACGCTAACCTTGAACCCGCAACGAAATGATCAGTACTTTTGTAAGTAACTATCAACCACGATCTATGCAACATTCGTTCGTTCACACCATCTACGAAGTTCACTAATAAACTAGCAAAACGAGCAAGTTCTTTGCAGATTTCATACCTCCATGATTCAGTCGAGTAGATGGAATTCTCTATCAAATCGGGCTGCGACTGTTGGTACGGCCCATTAACCAGAACCATAAACCACGTTCGTCAAATTACTGTTCCTATGCCCCATGAGCAGATTAGATGGAGGGTGAAGCGACGAGAAAACAGGTACAAATGGATAGAATAATGGGTTGATTCGAAAATTGACAGACATGGGAAAAGAGCTCGATGAGAGGACAGATGGACGGATATGAATGCATACCTGGATGAACAGAGACAGACAGACAGACAGGAAGGATAGACAGATTGATAGACAGGCAGACAGATAGACAAACAAGTAGATAGAGAGACCAACAGACAGGTAAACAGACAAATAGAGGGATAGTGAGGTAAACAGCAGCGACAAACACATAAGTAGACAGATAGATAGTTAGACAGATCCATGGAGAGGAAGATGGATACATAGACAGGAAACAGACAGACAGATGAATGGACAAATAAACAGTCTTGATTGACAGACTTGTCGTGTTTCCTAGGAAACATTAAAATAAATCAAAACGAAATGAATTTACTATAAACGTAGAAAAAACGATTATAGCTTTCTGAATTCATTAATGAAAAAAAAGCCTCAACGAACAGATCATGCGTTTTTCCACTGGGGGTAAGAGACTTCTGAATTAAAGTTCCATCTACCATTAATACGGTAGGGGCTGGCTGGCAAGGAAAATGCAAACTAAAAGCGAAATAATACTTCGGTTCACGATTCTGTGAGTTTGGACCTCAGTTCAGTTAGCAAATGAACACGTATCTATTTGTAAGCCATTAACTTGTTCCCATTCAGCAAGGGAGTGTTTACCTCAGGAGGCGTTGAACACCCACTGCACAGCCAGCGCATCGTTACCTCATGGTACGAACTTCAGAACTTAGTCGTACCTGTGTCAATACAGTTTTATGTTTTTCGGTTCCTTACTCTGAACGGTCCTGACTGGCCATGAAACGAATAAGTCACTCGACCGGCGTCTTCAACGTCAGCATCATCCGCGTGAACTTTGAAAACGGCAGCTCCGACGGCAATATCCTCTGGCAAAAACAATTTCAGATTTTCAGTACCGAAGCTTGGGATGTTGTCGTTGACGTCCTGCAGAATGACCGTCACCGAGGTCATGGCAACGTAAGGGGACGCGGAGGAGCCAGCAGCCGCATCTCGTAGAGCGACATAGAAGCGATAGAACGGAGTCACCTCACGGTTGAGTGGCCCGGCTACGTAAAAACTACCGTTTGGGTGCAAGTTGAAGTTTTGTTTGATGCGGCGGTGTCTGTCGTTGACGATTTCGGCGCTGTACTGCGGGTAAGAGGTGAACCTCAGATGGCCAACCAACGTGCCCACCTCGGCATTTTCGCCAATCCGCAATACAGGATTGTTCTGCAGAAACAGCGGTTGTGTCGGTCGACGAGGCACGATATCGATCATTACAGGGACTTCATCGTAAAGTGGAGGGTTACCCTTGTCGCAAGCTTTCACGTAAAATGATAACGTTTTGCCTTCTGTAAAAGATAACGTAAGTGTTGGCATTATTCATAACAATAACGAATATTATTGCAACGACGGTGATACCAACTACATTTGTAGCAGTAACTTGGGATTTGACAACGAAGGTGATTATGAATGATATATTGAAAAACAGGGGGAAAATGTTCATGATTAAAGTGATTGTGGCGATAAAACAGATGATCAGAATAAACATACGATGATGGCAATCATGTTCCTAATTCCGGATTAGTAATGACCATGAGAACGAGTATGTTCTGAAATCCGCTGGAGTAGTAAGGACAATGCAGCCAACGTTCATGATCATACGTCGGCGTCTGCACATCGACAGGAGATATTCCACTCTGGAGCAAAGTTTAATGGCACGAGTGTTCTGATCATGTTGGGCGTCAGTTTCAGATCCTTCAGACTGTTGGTCGAGCAAGGGCATGATAATCAGTTATAATGACTCTGACAGAGAGGCTCAATTCATCAACGACACTAACGGTAAAAAACGTGATATGAAAGACGATAAAAGGCCATGGCGACAGCACTGAGCACGAAACCGATTACAACAATGAAAAGTGAAAATTAATTATCCATTAGAATGATGGTGCCACAGATAATAATACATGAAAATACCTAACAGTGGTCACTAAATGAATGACAAAAATAGCGGCTCTAATAATTATCGCAAAGATTACAGTTACGGTCGTAATGCTAGTGATGATGACGGTCGCGAAATTGATCACGATTATGGTACGGACAATGGCTACAGAAGCAAACAATATCGTGAAGGATGTCGACAATTTCAGTTTAGTGATACAGAACCAAATATGCACATAATGATAGTGATGGCCAAAAACCATCGACAATAACCGTAAACTCAACACCAGAGTGATGAGAACCCTGAAGATAATGATAATTTTCAGTCATCACAGTGCTCCTAGTTTATTCGTTGTTAAAGATCGTTATCACTTGCATTTATCATTACTATCATGATCATGGTGGCAACCATCATCGAAACATTTTTAAAAACTGACAGTTATGCCTCTGATTGTTATGACGTTCAGAATAAAAATGATATAAGGCAACAAACGCTTTAGATAGCCAAAGTAATGGTAATGAAGTTCACAGTAATGTTGATGATGATGAGAGTAGCTGTCAGCGCCACTATCAGGCTAATCGAGATATACCCGCTTTCGTCTAACAATATCGCGACCATTTTGGCGA